GGCCGCCCGCGCGCTCCCTTCGGAGGCGGGGGCGGGGCGGCGTCGCAGACTGATGACGCGGAGGCGGGTGACGCAGGGCGGGCCGCGCCGCGCTCCGTGCGCCTCTGGGGCCTGAGGCGGCCGTTGTTCACGTTCCCTTCAGGGCGCCCGTAGGCCGCGGCCCGCGCCGGGGGGGGCCCCCCCTCATGTGAGAGGCGGCCGTCGAGGGGGGCGGCCGGGCGCACCGCGACCCGCCAGTGCCACGGGAGAAAATGACATCGCGGAGGTGAGGCGGGAGTGAGCGGCGCCGAGCCCGGCGGGCGAGGAGGGGGGGATGGGCGGGCGGGCGGGGGGGCGGGGGGTCGCCCGCCCCCGCGGCCCTCAGCGCCCGCTCCTGGGGGGTCGCTGGGCCGGGCTTCCTCCCCGCGGCCGTCCTGGCCGGGCAGGGCCTCCCGCGCCCCGTGGCTGCGGCGCAGGGTCAGCCCACGCCCGCTCCCCCTCCCCGCCGCCTGCAGCCGCGTCCCGGCCCCTCTCCCCGCCCGTTCCCGGGGCGGGATGTCCCCCTTCCCGCCGTCGTGGGCTGCGGCCGCCGCCTGGGCTCGAGTCGGGGCCTGGCTCGCTCTGCTCCCCGCGCCTCGCCTCCCTTTCCCTGGCGAGCGGACCCTCACCCAGCCGGCCGCGGCACGGCGGGGGGACGCTCTCCCCGGCGTGGCTGGGGGGGGCTCGGTGCGGCTCCGGGGCCGGCTGGCCTCGGGGTCCGTCGACCGCCGTGCAGAGGCCAGACCTGCCACAGTTGGCTTCGGGGGGCGTGGGGGTGGGTTTCGTCGGGTCTTCGCGCCGACTGCTTGTGCGTTTGAACCCGAGCCGAGAGACGAATTTTATTTGTGTGGCAACCCACTCAGTCCAGTATCCAAGGCCTGGGAGGGTCGTGTTGCTCTCGGTAGTCCAGCGCTAGTGACGACGTTAGTGAAACTAAAACGTGAGCTGGCTTTAAAACGAGTGTTAGTAAGCTGACCTGCTCTGGGCTCTTGGTTTATTAGCAGCATTCGGTCTAGTTTCAAAATCTTGTGGTGTTGCAAAATCAGGATGATAAACAGTTGAGTCTGTTTCTTTGTTGTAGCTTCTCACTGTCCTTACCGTATTTTGATGTTTGTCGAGTGTTAGCAGTCCTTTTTGGGCTGTGAGGTTAAGGTAAATGTTAGACTTGAGAGGAATTACTGTCATAAAAAGGAAAAAGATGTTTATAGTCTTACTTGATATACCTATTCTAAAATTTGATATATCTCTAAGTAATATCTATTAAAGTATAACTTCTTCGACATTGGATTGTCCACTTTCTTGTTCTGCTTAAGATGGTTGAAGCCAGATTGGTTGGTTTTCAGTCCTGACCATTTATAGTTGAATTTGTATTTGGGGTTTTCTGAAGTGTCTGGAGGGTCTCTAGATCTCACACATCAGAACAAGTATACAAGCTGCCTTTTCGAAACACTTGCGAACTTCCTCATTGTCAGGAGTAATCCTCTTATTCTGCTCAGAACTTTAAATTGTAACTTGTGAGGGAGACTGAAAAAAAGATGAAATATAAACCGATGAGCCTATAGATAGGAGTAATTAAACTACCAGTCACCGCCTCCCTGAACGCTATGGTGTGACAGCTGAGACTCAGAACTGATTTAATCTCTCCTGCTCTTGAAAAGGTGATTAGAAAAGCCCAATCACAGCATGGAAAAATGTATTGATTTTTTATTTTCTCTCTTCAGTTTGGTAAGAGAGAAATATGCTGGCAATGTATGACTTACAAAACGCTGATCCTGCTGATCTTTTCTGGACTGTGTTAACAGAAAAAAAAAAAAAGAGAGAATTGCAGCAAGGCTGTATTTCCTACCATGTATTATTTTTCATCAAAAGGTTTCTTGCTTAGCTGATATACCCTTAGTTTTGTAAACGAGACCCTAGCTATTTCAGTGGTTACTTTTCTGCTGACATTTTCATCTTGCTGTAAACTAATAAGGGCCTTGGAGTGGTATGCTGCTGAACCCCCCCAAATCAGAATTGCTTTATGGAGTATTCCATGCATAGTGAAGACAGCTAGGTTAATTAGAGTGTGGGTTTATGTGTGTGTGTGTCTGTTACTTTTTTGATTGTATTTATTGGCTGTGATGTCCTTTGCTTGGGATAGCCTCTGCACCTGCTCATAATAGAGGTTGAAGAAGGAAAGTAGAAAAAAATTCTAAAATGCATTCCATCCCTATAAAAGGAAGTGTAAGAGAAAGTCCTCTATAGGGGTTATGTTACTGGTATCTGTGTCTGCAGTCCCCTCTGCTGTCTCCTCCAGTTTTGGAAGGGATGTAGCCACCAAAGGTTCAAAAGCACACATGTGATGGCAGTACTTCAAATGGAGCGATCTTGATCACCGGTCCGGAACCATTTAACAGAGATCACAAACACCCCCATTTTTCTATTTGGGGTGGCTGACAAATGTATCTTCCTACACAAAGCCAAAAATACAAAGATGAGAGAGCAGGAGTACAAGTTGCCATTAGAATAAAAGTTACATAAAGTGCAATAAACTCCATTGGCCTCCCAGATGTAGCTTTTCTTTTGCTACACTTACTTGCTTTTTACCCTCTCCAGTAGGAGTGTATATGTGGGGGTGGGATTTTTGTTTTTAAACAATCTATCATCTTTTTAACATTCCCTTTAAGCGCAAGTTATTTGTAGTCCCTTCTGTTCATTAAATTATTATTTTTTTCTGTAATTTTACATCTTTTTAACAACTTGTGTATAGTAACTTCCAGATGCATTAGGGTTTAGGGTAAGATACAGAAGATATTCTATTAATTCAAGTTTATGGAATGTCAGCATATGATAAATCTGTAGGGCTGATTCCAATAATTTCTCCTTTGTATGTTTATACATTTTTGGATATAAACTCAAAAACTTGCAAAGGTGTCTCTTGAATCCTGTGTGTGTTTAAAAAGCTTATAAACTGTTCAAAATGTTGCTGTACTTTTTTTTGTTTGCTTTTTGTTTTCTCCTAATGGAAGTAAAATTTTGGGGGTGGAAGTGTGGTAAATAGACTATCGGCTTCTGCAGACCAACCTGTCGTATTCTGGAATATATTATTTAATGCTCAGTTCATCATAGGTACCAATGCTTGTGCAGTTTCTTTTGTGAGACTGCATCAAAACAGAACTTTTCTTGACCTTTGATTAGACATTAGATAAATGTAGCATTATTTATTAATTCATTCCCTTTTGCTGTAATAACTTGGAAGTGTTTTTTAGTATTTTTTTTTCATGACCCATGCTGCATAGGTTTGATTTTTATTTTTTTTTCTTCTTGTTCTTCAGTACAAGGTATTGTAGTATTCACTAGATTTTCTTGGTGCAAGTAGAATATCCTTACCTAGAAAAAAAGCAAGATTAACAAGAAGAATCATTTACTTCTGAAATGGAACTGGTACATAAGTAATCCTAATTCCCATTTGAGTGACTTGCTAGAGGTTTGGGTATTCTAGGATCTCTAAAACTCTCCAGAATGTTTCCATGAGAATCTGTTTCTGAAGAGAATAGGTTGGATAAGGCCTTGGTAGGAATATTGTCAGCTTTTCAGTACAGAAGGAATTTCTGAAACAATTGAAGTAATAACCCTAAATTTAGACATGCACTTGCATATTTTGCTGTTCTAGCAATTTAGCATGAAATGTTGACTGTATCAGGAGTGATCAGAAATGCTACTTAATTTTTTTTTAGATATAGCACTCTTATATCTGTAATGATATTGGTTGCAGAGTCTTTTGCCTTAATGTTTTGCTTTACTTGGGAGAAACTAAGGACCTTGTCTACAAAGAGGAGTAGCCTTTGTTCTTTCTGCAGGTATGGATGTGCATTTTTGCTTGTGCCCTGCATAGTGTCTGATTTATGGCAACTCTGAAAAACAAAGGCAATCTTTTAATTGCCAAATACAAGTCTGACAAAGCCACTAAAACAGTTCTTACTTGCTGTGTTCACATCTCTGTCCCTGGGCTGTGTGGTGGTTTGTTGTTTCGTTTGTTTTTTTATTTTTTTTAAGTGTGTCTTCTAAAATCGTGCCTCATTAAAAACTCCTTTCATCCAGAGCACACAGGTGTAGTCTAGCACTGCAAGAGTGCAGTAAAAATCCTCAATTATAGATAAGAGAAAATGCAGATGTGTTAACTGAATGGCTAAGAATAAGTCTCTCAAAAGTTAATGCCATAGGTGGGGACACTGAGCTTCTTGGATATAGACCATATACAGCTCTCCTTTGGCAGGGCACTATATTAGTCATTCAGAAAGCTGTTTGTGGGTGGTGAACATCAATATGAGATTCCTTGGTGTTTGTATTTAAGTGAGATATATTCGGACCAGAGAAATTGCCATGGTAGTTAGAGCATTGCTCTTGTGCCTGGCAATGGTCAGCACCACATTCTTTTGAGGAAGGTGGAAGACGACTGGGCAACTGAATAGGTTGTCCACAAGTGAAGTTCCTTCCTGACCCTGTCGGCTGGCGGTCAGCCTGTGCCCTAAAGCATGAGGTTTTGTTAAATTTTTAACCTTTAAAATGTTGTGAAGTGTCACTTGGATGTTTTGTTTTATTTTTAAGTATCTTTCCTGATTGTGTTTCAGTTTCTTTATCTCCTGTCTTCCAGGATTAAGGAAAATGCATGACTCGTGGTCTCTGTTTATATCGTATACTTTTCTTTGATATCGTTTTAATCTGAGCAGTCTGAATATGTATAGATACACCCCTTTCACTTAGAAAGCATCTCTTACCAATATGTAAAATTGCAATGTAATATGAAATGGACAATTTATACTTTCTGCTAAGATATAGATTCTTATTTATGTAGGAACAAAATCGAGTACTTCCTGGTTTTGAAGCTGTTGAATTTTTCTGTTTAGTCTTGTCATGTAAGTTAACTCTGAAGACTAGAAGATCTTCTATTTATTTATTAACACTCTTTATTTTTAACTTCTTATAGATGGTTTCATCCAAATATTACTGGGGTGGAGGCAGAAAACCTGCTGTTAACAAGAGGAGTAGATGGCAGTTTTTTGGCACGGCCTAGCAAAAGTAACCCAGGAGATTTTACGCTGTCTGTTAGGTAAGTTTAAATGTTTTTTTGTCTTTCTCCCCAGATTGTTAGGGGTCTTCATTTGATGCTGTTCTATGGGGAAAGAGTTGTAAATGAACTACTTGTAAGAGATGCAAGAATGCATCAATCACTTTTTAGTCTGTTTTTCACTTTTTTCCTCTTTTTTTTTTTCCCCCTCCCATTTTCTGTGAAGAGGTTCTCAAATACATTTATCCAGCTTGAGGAAACTATAGGTTGGAGGGTGGTGAATTCTGATTCTGCAGAAAGACAGAATAATTTAAGGGGAGGCAGAAGTAGCTTCATAATAGCATTACTTTTAGCCCTTTAAAAATCAATTTGATAACCATCTGAAAGTAGCAGAGATGATATGAATTACTGATCAAGCACGTGCAAGGAAATGCTATCCAGACTCTCTTCTTACAGGAAAAGTCAGCAAGTTTTTAAGGGCAACTGTGGTGCTATTTCAGCTTCCAAAACAGGCCTTTTGTAACACTTGTCCCCTGGCACTGTGTGTGTAAGTGGTAGGGATGGGGAAAGGATGGCAAGAGGAAGTAGATAAAGGAAAAGGGAAAAATGGGGTTGGTGATAATAATGCAGCTTGGATACCTTTGAGATAATGGGCCTTGCTGAACAGAAGGGAGGTCTTTCAGAGAGCTGTTCTTCATTAGTACTGGAGACTGTGGGAGCAAATGACTTACATCAGGCAAAGGCAACTGTTTACTGAAGGACAAATCTTAGCAGTTAGTGTGAAATTCTAGGGAAAGGCGCAAACAAGCTCTGATGGGTGTCTTGAGAATGCTGTATTCTTCTCACCTCTCCACACGTTCTGCTTGTGTGTGCAATTCTTGGGGGTCTGAGGGATTTCTATTGGAGATCGTGAGGCTGCAGAGCTTATGGTGGCTTCGAGGATCTCTTTGTTATGGAATCAAGGGTTTTTTTCTCCTATTCTTCCTGACTGTTGGACAGCCACTTCCCCTTCTTGCAAGCCACTGAAATGTGGCTGAAGCACACTTCAGAGGTGCGCTAGCTTAGCTATTCTGCAATATTTCAGTTGGAAAGTGATGCAAATGTAAGTATGGATTTCTCTAACTAAGACAACAGAACACCGAATATAAAAATGATTGATTGGAAATCAGCTGACTTGTGTGGGTTTTTTTCCTTTGTTTCAAATATTAGACGAACTGGAGCTGTCACGCACATCAAGATCCAGAACACAGGAGACTACTATGACCTCTATGGAGGAGAGAAGTTTGCTACATTGGCTGAGTTAGTCCAGTATTATATGGAACATCATGGACAGCTCAAGGAAAAGAATGGAGATGTTATAGAGTTAAAATATCCACTGAACTGTGCTGATCCTACATCTGAAAGGTCAGAGAAATGGTGGTGAAAACCTCAGTGTCCATGCACTTCTTAATAAATGCATGTGTTTATAGTCAGCTTCCATTTGATGAAAGGGTGGCCACTGTCTTGTACTAAAAGTGGTCCCACTGATTTCAGTGAGGTTACTTGCAAAGTAGGCTAATAAACATGACTAAACGTAAAGCAGTCTAAGCCTCAGAACCTATTTTCTTCAGCATTCTTCCTGATGTGATACAATACTAAAAAAGAGGGCATAGTTCCCTTTATTTTTACTGTTGCATTAAGGAAGTTCTCCTGAAGTTTCCTGAAGCTGTTATTACTGCAAGGAATTCCCAGGTATATTTCTGGGCATAACTTTGTAAAATTTTTCCAGTAGTGGGCATAAGTGTAAGAAAGTGAATGACATGCAAATCCTCAAATTGATCAAACGCATGTGTTGAGGAATGTGGCTAATAAGGAGAATCTGAGACTTGAGACTTGATGTATACTGAGGAAGTATGCGTATGTCAGAAATAAACCTCTGTGGCCAATAGATGCCAGTTTATTCCTAGAAGTGAAAAAACAAGGAAAAATATTGAAACAAGTTCTCTCAGTCCTCAGAATGGCTTGTATTTAACAGTAGTGGGGAGGATTATTGCCTTTTTGGCTATGTTTCTTGAAGAAATGAGGTTGATGTGATTATCCTGTCCAGTTCCTAATGTGGTGGGAGGGCAAGGTCTCAAAGATGCTAAGTTCCCACAGGTTTATCAGGAAAGTGCATCCTCACACTGCAACATTTTCCTCAGTCAAGGCATTTATTCTTCTTTTATTTCCTTTGTAAGCTCATGTTTACTGGACACCTGGGAATCCATTTGGATTGTTGTAAAGGATTCAAATCAAAGCTTCATTTGAAGCTTGCATGAAATGCAAATTTCAGTGCTTATGGAAGTGCTGGCTTTGAAGTGTTTCTGTAATCACTTGTGTGTATGTATGTGTACACTTCCAAGGCTTATTTTGTTTTTTATTTTTATAAACTGTGAGGCTTTCGGTAGACCTGGACACTGTTCAGTGTATAATTTAGTATAAGCATTTTATTATAAATATTTAGAACAAGCAGATTCAGCCACAGCTGGCATGACAAGTAGGGTACCTGTCTATATCTTACTTTATTTAAAGGTGGTTTCATGGGCATCTCTCCGGAAGAGAAGCTGAAAAACTGTTAACAGAAAAAGGAAAACATGGAAGCTTTCTTGTGCGTGAGAGTCAAAGCCACCCTGGGGACTTTGTTCTTTCTGTCCGGACAGGAGATGATAAAGGAGAGAGTAACGATGGGAAATCTAAAGTGACACATGTCATGATTCACTGCCAGGTATGATGAAGCATGAACTTCTTTAACAGCACTACTTCCATGGACAGTGGGTTTATTCTAACAGGAGGGCCATCTTGCACTGCACTACAGAGAGCTGAATGCATTTCCCCTTTCCCTATGGTACTGTATGTACTATATATCCTCTGTTTGATCAAATTGACTAATTTGATAGCATCAAAATTCTATTAGGGTTTTATTTTTTTTGACTGCTTGCCTGACTGAATCATGTCATACTATACTATGCTGTCAAGTACCTTCTAATAGATTTGCTTTTGATTGCATCAGAAGTCTGTCTCAAATCCTCTACTGATGGAGCCTTTCATGCTCATGAATCTTCTTAAGCAAGTTGCAGTCTCCTGGATGAATTACATAAAAATATGAATAATTGGACAAATAGAGATCTATCAGAATATATCTGTTTCTCTGTCAGTTTATAAAGTTACACCTGATAGATGATGAACATTCTGTGAAAATTTTGAGTACTGAATCCAAGGAAAGCTTTTAAATCTAAAGCTTGAATTTAATATAGTGTAGTTCTTCACTGAAGTATTATTCACTGATAGTCTTTTGATATTTTCATATATAAAAAATATATATAAAATCACAGATTTTGTCATTATCTTTTTCTTCTGTTATCGTAAAAGACAGTGCAACAACTTAATTGTTTAAAAACAACTAAAATGCAATAACAGAAATGGTCTGGAGGTAGAAGTGGTCTACCAAGACTGTAAAAGCTGAACTACCAATTTTTTTTTTTTTCTTCAAGAAAGCCTCTTTGATTTACAGTTAACTACTATTAGCATTTATGATGTTGAGGAAATTAACTCAGCACTGCTTCCTTAAAATAGGGATGGTGCCAGTCAATACCAGCCTTTCAGGACCCAATGATACTCTTTCAGGAATGTGAATTGATTTTCAAAGCTATCTCCTGGATTCTAATCATGTAGCTCAGGTAGCCTGCTTGAGCTGACTGAACCTCAGTTCAGAAGGAATCAGCTCTCCTGAAAAGGCAGATAAAATGATTTTCAGTTAGATGACAAAAAGGATAATGTCCTCCACAGTGCGTGTGTTTCTTTTTATTAAGGTTCTACCATCCCTTAGCAGAAGGATTTTTACTAGATTCTTCTATATATGGTTTTAAAGAGAATTTCTCATATGTTGCATAGCCTAAAGATGATGTTAGTGTAGCATCACTGTATGAAGTGAGTTTATTTTGATGAGCATCTGTCTTTCAAGGATCTAAAATATGATGTTGGTGGAGGGGAGAAATTTGACTCTCTGACAGATCTAGTGGAACATTACAAGAAGAACCCTATGGTAGAAACTTTGGGCACAGTATTGCAACTCAAGCAGGTGAGTGAATGGAGAAGACACCACTAAGCTTTGTTAACTTCAGCATATATTGTTGAAGTGCAGGCTTTTCCATGTGTTCTGAGACATAATTTTTTTTCTTTTCTAATGCAAAAATGAAGAATTAAACTTCATGAAACTGGATGATGAAGTCAGTAATTTAAATGGGAACAATTTTTTATATGCCTGTGAAGGATAGACTCTTGTGTCTCTGATGCATGCAGAACTTCTCTTGGTTTCATCGTGGTCCATAGGGACTGCAGGACTAGTCCAGAAATGAGACAACTTAATGTATTGAAGAACAACTGTGAGACCTTACCTAAAAGCAATTGTTCCCTGCCCCCTTCCTCTCTACCCTCACTGCCCTTCATTGTATGAATTGTAAAGTTTTGAAGTCCAAATAGATGCCTGGATCCCAGAATTGACAGTATAAAATATAATTAGCGTGGGTGATTTGTGTTTTAACTGTCTTCTCACAGTTGTCATTTGTTATACCTTTGTTTAACATCTGTATCTTTCTTAGCCTCTGAATACTACCCGTATTAATGCTGCAGAGATTGAAAGCAGAGTGCGAGAGCTAAGCAAGCTAGCAGAGACTACAGATAAAGTCAAGCAGGGCTTCTGGGAAGAATTTGAGGTACTTCATTACATTCCAAGTGTTATGGTATTAAATCTCTACACTACTAAAAAGTTAGGTTTGTTACTCCCTTCCCGACATTTTCTCATCTCCCCTTCCGTTGCTTCAGATCCCTGTTCTTGCTCCCATCTCCCGTGTCAGGTACGGCATGTGTTAAAATTTCACGAGTTCCACTCTTGTGTCTGCTAGTAAAATGATTGAAATATTTGTCTTTTTTCCTGATTCTGAGACCTAATTATGTTCTTCAATGCTATTCATTCAGTACCTAGCACAATCCCTCCTGAATATCCTCCCCATCATGAGGGAGCCTTATGTACAACTGTATCTGGCCCACCAGGACAATTAATTGTTTTCATTCCTGTGTTCCTTTTCTTCATGTGGACAGGAAGAGGTCTGTAGACTGGATTAATGTTTCTGGAGGCAAAGGACTAATTCCTAGCCTACATTACTCTTGGTGACTGAAGGAAACTTCAGTGTGCTTTCTCAGTCAGTATATGCTCTTGCCCTTAAGTTTGTGGCTTTTTGATAGCCATTTTTTGGGGATCTTAGAACTATTCTGAAGTGGTAGTGGTAGCAAGCTATGAGATGAAGCAGCACTGATTGTATGTATTCCTTGGACTCCTGGAGATTTATTTTTGTTTTGTTTGGGTATTTCATTTCTGCCTGTGGCCAAAATTCCATATCCCTCCCAGAAAGCAGCATTGCCTTTCCTTCTGTCTTATCCGTGCTCCTCTTGTGTGTGTAACATAGCTGCGCTGGCCCAGCTGTCCCCTTCTTTGAAGTCCTGATGATTTCAGGGAGCTGCTTATGTTTGAAAGAAGATACAGCTGAAACTGTTAATTTCTCAAGTAGAGCAAATTGTGAGTGTTGACTAACACATTCCAAACTACTTGAGCCTAGCCTGGGTCCTAACCCTTCTCTGACAACTGGAGTCACTTAACAGCTGCATGCACGTGATGGTCATAGCCAAAAGCTTAGAAGTGTCTTAAATATAATGGACTGGTTTATAACACACACACACACGAAAACCACAGTGGAGTCTGGAACTTCACCAGCAGATGGCAACAGGAAACTGCGAAGTCCTGATCTTTGACAGAGAGGCTGGTTTTGGCTTTGTAATGCTATTTTGAGAAACTTCTTGGATAGTGACAGATTTGCAAAGCAACCATTCTTGAAGAAACTTTTTTGATCAGACATATTCATTAGCTGAATGTAATCTGCTGTGACACTATTGTCAGGAGGAGAAAAATAAATCCATGAAAAGCAAAAGACTCTCACCAAAGAGGTAATGCATTTCACTACAAATGTGGATGGAATATAAGAAGGTGAGGTCATGGCAGTGGGGTAATCATAAAATGAGGATTAAGCTTTCTCCTCTCTCTTCCCCTGTGCCCAGTGTGGTGGTGGTGGTGAGGGGCAGTCCTTGACCCAGGACTGCTGAATGGTCAGAATCCTACCTGGAGGGGGAAGCAAGCCAGCAGAGGCTACTCTGGCTGTTGCTGAGGACTTGGGACTGTTTTATCCTAACAGTAGAGGGGTGGATCCCCTGGGGAGCAGTTCTCATCTATTGCTTGTGAACCTCGCCTGGAGGTAAAATGGCCTCAACCTTTGAATTGCTTCTCCTGCAGAGTTCAACACAGGAACTTTGATATGGGGCCTGAAGGGTAAAGAAGATTAGCCACACCTGCTCTAATGGCTAAAATTTGCATATGAGAATTAACTGCTTTTTCTAAAGACTGATTAGTGGTGTGCTTTATCATATCATGATACAGTCATGTAGATTGTGCCTGTGATCACTGTGTGGTTTAGTCTGAACATGCATTTGCAAGTTAGCCAAGGCTGTCTGTTGGCTTTTCTGGAGACTCTAGGCATACCTTATTCTTATTCAGAGGGCATAAAAGGAAAAAGTGTGCCCTGTTGGCTTGCCCTTCTTGTAATTGGTGCCTTCTTGTAATACTAGAAGACATGTGAATTAAAGTTTTGTTTTGTTTTTTCTTGAGGGAAGCATTCTTGTGCAATGCATTTAGGAATGGATTGTTGATTTGTCAAAACATGACTGGACTATTACTTGACGCTTATGACTTCTTTTCTGACCTCTGGTCTTTGTTGAATAAATTAGTCTTGTAATGGATTTATCAGTTGGTCCTTAGAAGCAAATTGTTTTCTTGTCATGTGACTTTCCTGAAGAAAAGTATTTGCTAGCAAGCTAGAAGTCTTACAGAAAAGGTAAATGTAAGAAATGAAGGATTTTACCTGTGAGACATTCCACTTTCCCCTTCACTACGGTTAGTGAGGTCAGCACAAAACCTTACTTTTTTCCCCGCTGTGTTTTTAGGAATGAAGCAATCTCATAGCAGTTTTAGTGTCATGCTTTTTCATTCACCTCAGGTAAGCTATAGCTGTCAGCCTTGGTGGCAGGAGGCAGGGGGGCAAACTCCAGGTTGTCCAAGGCTCTCTGCCTGAGCTGTTTATGATTTAGCAGTCCAGATGGTAGTTATAAATTACTTGCCTTCAGGCATATTTAAGAATGTACTTCTTGTCCTGTGAACCACTAGACAGAAATGTTGACAGTCCTTGTAATGTTTTTGCTTCTGAAAAATGGCTGTTTGGTGAGCTTAATGCTTGGATGTTGTAGTGACATTGAGGACTATGTTTCAGATTTATTGTTGCATTGTGTACATCTCTTAATGGGCTTGTTAGAAGTCACTGGTGCTCATGGATCTCTCCTCAGGGATGCTCAAAGCAATAATAATTAACTGTGTGAAGTGAAGATGTGTTTGAAGCTCTGGTTTCCACACCTACTAGCAAAGTTTAGCCTTTGCTTCTTTTGCTTGGCGTTTCACTTGGCTGAGACTCAAAAGTGTTAATAGTATGTAAAGGTCTCTGTGGTAATGGCACTTTAAAGACTCACAGTGTGGCAAGAGATGAGCTTACTGCAAAGTGCTGTTTCACCCATTGCTAGCAGTAGCAAGTAATGCTTTATGCGGATATGTTTTCTGTCTTTGCTTCATGAGCATGAAACCTCACAGTTCTCATGTATTACTTTTGTTCTTTGGTTTCCCTGTCTTTAGGATGAGCCTAATTGTCCAAGGTCACTAAGTGAGGTCGTAACAATAAGAGAGACTGAAATAGAAGTGAGCCAATGTGCCTGACATGCCCAAGCTTTAAAGTAAAAGCAATCTCTGCAAGAGCATTAAGGGTGGTAATAACAAGGGGAGCAGCTTCCAAAGCCTGAGTCTTCCTTTTAGTCAGGCCAGTACTGCTTTGGGGATTAAAACTTGGAACAAAGACATCGAGATTCTGGTCCCTCCAGCTTCATTGCAAGTAGGGAGACTTGCTGCTAAGCAGCATGGCTGTGAAGTATGGAATTGCTGTTGTCCCTGTTATATTAACTGTGAACCAGGTACTGAGAAATGAGCTCCTTGCCAACAGGAGAAATCACCATGCAGATTTATTGTTTCTACACTAGGATGATTTATGGATAACTCTGTAGTTACCTAATGCCCCCCTTCCTCCACCAACAGGATAATATGAGAAAGTCTGTGCAAAATTTTTTACTGGTTTAGTGAAATGGCCTTGCATTGGTAGAAGAGAATCATTGGAGCACTTAAAAAGTGGTACGTGGCTGTGGTGTTGGGTTGTACATTGGCATTGTACTTGTCTCATCCATACTTTTGGAAATACTGTAGCATTCATAGAATGGTAGAATGGTTTGGGTTGGAAGGGACCTTAATGATCATCTAGTTCCAACACCCCTTGCATGGGCAGGGACACCTTCCACTAGACCAGGTTGCTCAAAGCCCAGTCCAACCTGGCCTTGAACACTTCGAGGGATGGGGCATCCATAACTTCTCTGGTCAACCTGTTCCAGTGCCTCACCACCCTCACAGTGAAGAACTTATTCTTTACAGCTAATCTAAATCTACCCCCTTTCCGTTTAAAGCCATTACCCCTTGTCCTATCATGACATGCCCTTGTAAAAAGTCCCTCTCTGGCTTTCTCGTAGGCCCCCTGTAGGTACTGGGACTTCCATGTACCAACTTCCCCTGTGGACTTTGTTTTGGGGGAGTAGACAAGAATATCTACCTAATATTCTGCTTCTGACTGCTGAAGGACTTTTCACTGTGCTTGATATTTAAATACAGCTGCTTGTGTTGATATGCTTTGTTGGGTTTTCTGTATGCTCCTTCCTCCTCTTTGGCTGTCTAGAGTTCATCTGGCTGCAGCTTGCAAGGATCCGCTCTTGTGGCATTGCTGTTGCACAGCCTTTGTATTCTCAGGGACTTGTTTTGGGGGCTTGCTAGCAGTGTTACTACAGACTTGCTGTAGCTGAAGGAGAGGAAGAAGGCTGGTAAGGCCTAGAGGAATCCAGTACAGCTCAGGTACAGAAGCACTGGATCACAAAGTGCTTTACTCCTTTGCAGGCTGGCAATATTTTGAATGCATTAGTTACTAATCTTTATTGGTACTAAAGCTAATGCCAGTTCAGTGGAAATTTTTTAACTCCTTACATGCCTGATGCAGCAAAAAGAAGTGTAATAGTACTCCTAACTTTTATGCTTGGCGAGAAAGATCTAGTGATAAATATGTTTGTTTGGACCTGCTCTGTAGAATGCTGCTTGTGTTGTTTGGTTTATTTAGCATGCCTTTTACAATGGCAAGATTTCCACAGGCAAAATTTTGTTGTGGTCCTTTGTAACCAGTTACACCTAAAACTTGGGTCTGCTTGGTCAGAACAGTATCATGAGGACTTGCTGGTTATAGTTTGGTTTACAGAAGCTTTGAATTCATAGGTGTTTCTAATTATTAGGTGGAAAACAGCTTGCCTTGTCACTCATGCTCCTGTGTTTCTTACATATCTTGGAAGCAATGCTGTACTAAGTCTGGATGGAGAAATTCAGTACCTCTCTCTCCTTCTCTGACTCTCTGGCATTATAATCAAGTATCATCATTTTTGTGAGAAAGGATTGCTATAACGATGGTGAAACAGTTCATACTGCTTTTATTAAACCCAGTTATTTGTGCTGTTTTTATTTAGACTTTACAGCAGCAAGAATGCAAACTCCTCTATAGCCGTAAAGAAGGTCAGCGTCAAGAAAACAAAAACAAAAATAGATACAAAAACATTTTACCCTGTAAGTATTAATTTCTTTCATTATAGCATAAGCCTGCTACTTTTCTATGGTTTTTTTTAGCTCATAAATACAGGGTTAATTAAGTACCACTGTGCTTTTTCTTCTCTTTAGTGATAATTTCCCTTCTTATGTTGTCAGTATTAGCCCATGCAATTTCCAATTTGTGTTCAAACATTTGTACTTTGTAGATACCAATATTTTGATTCCCAAATGTTTTTATCTTCAGCTTTCATTTAAAAACATCACATCCCTAAACTGTTATTCAGTAAACTGGAATGCTTAAACTTAAGAGGATTAATTGTGGTACAAAAGTGCATGGTGCAAATCCAGCAGCCGTTCGCCTTGACTTAGTGCTTGACTGTCCATGTACTCATGAGTTACTAGGGGTCATGAACACTTACTTTGATCTAGCTTGTTTTGAATTGGCCACTTGTTTTAAGAAACAGCAAAAGAGGAAAGGTTGAATATTCTAACCACTAATTTACTGAGTTTGATAACCTAATAGCTTCTGGTAGCAGTAAGAAATGTACCTGTCTGTGGGATATTTAAAAATAGCTGTGTGTTCACAACTGTAGGATGCAAGCGCTTAACGTTCATATATATTCTTCCAGTTGATCATACCAGAGTTGTTCTACATGATGGTGATCCAAATGAACCTGTTTCAGACTATATCAATGCTAATATTATTATGGTAAGTATACCCATACCTACAGAAGCCTTGTTGGCGCAGCTCATGTCTACTCTTTAAAATACTCACCTAAATCCAAGTTAGTCTTGTAATCATTTGTCACCATTTGTTAATTTTTTTCTCTAGCCTGAGTTCGAAACCAAGTGCAACAACTCAAAGCCAAAAAAAAGCTACATTGCTACTCAAGGTTGCCTACAGAATACAGTGAATGATTTTTGGAGGATGGTGTTCCAGGAGAATTCTCGAGTTATTGTTATGACAACAAAAGAAGTTGAAAGAGGAAAGGTAAGAACACACTCTCAAACTGGCCTTGGGAAAGGTCATGACGTTTGAATGCAAGTAAGGACTAAACTGACTAGGTTATATTGATCTATATGCTGAAATCTGGTATGCCACCACTGTCTTTGGAGACCGGGAAGTTGCTGAGTGTCCTTTTTTATTGGTGCTGGTGGGAATTGAGGGTATACTCCTATCGTATCATCAGGCCTCCCTTTTTTAAGTGTTGACTGATTAAATTTTAACTGCTGAATATAATTCTATGTATTTTAACATTATTCAGCGAATGAGGCACTGGAATGTGAGATGAAGCCAGACAGGCATTCTGTGTTCTTGAAGGGGTAAACCCTCTGTTCCTGTAACAAAAGTATTGCCATTTATTTTAGCTTACCAAGCTTGTGTAGACTTTAGTAGAAAAGCAGAATTGTGGGACTTTATTATTATAAGAATGAATGTAGATGATACTAGACTACTAGAATGCTATTCTCTCTTCTGACTTTACTTTCTATGCTTGAATTTGATAACATTCTTATTACGTGCTGAGCTAGTGATTACGGCTGAAACTGTACCTCGTTAGGAATCCCCCAGCCAGGTGTGTTTTAGCACTTTAGGAATAAAAGTCAGGTTCTTTACCTTTGACTGCCCCGTTCTGCATGAACACAGCTGCCTGTTCAGCCTTGCTAATGTGCAAAAACCTTGTGAACTGCTCTGGCAGTATTTAATGCTCTGAAAGAGGAAATTTTCCTGCAAGGGCGTATCCCAAGAACCTCCGTCTTACCTTTTAAGTACAGAGATCTTGTCTTACTGTCTTCTGGCGAATCTGAGGCTATTACTTTGTTTCTGGGTTCTAATGACATATGGCAGGAAAGAATAGGAAATAGTAGAATACTGATATTCTGGCAACGGTCACATACCGCTTCCTGTGTATAGTGTAGCTTTATCTTTGGAATGTGTTGCTGCTGTTCAATTTCGTGTGTGCGCTCTCTCTTGTTTCTCTGCTTTTTCCACATACCATTGTCCACTTTTTCAATAATCCAATGATCTGTTTCTGAATGGAGAACTGTTATCTTGTTAGATGAGCGTCACTTTTGAAAAAAAATTGAATTGAAAGTATAGCTAGTGTTTTTCTATGGATGACTGATAATTGCAGGGGTTCCTTACCACTGCGACAAAAAAAGAGGCTTTGTGTATATGTACTGAAGACAAATAGCAGTAGATTTTATGGGCTTCTCTTACTAATCTAGGTATCAAAGCTGCCATTGGTGATGTTTGTAGAAACCATTAGACTCTGTCTTGCAGATTTTTTTAGGCTTTGTAAACTTCTGCCCATCCATTAGCCTTATAAAGGGGCATGATTTGTGTTTTCTTCCTGAGAATGCACTGAGGGAGGGAGAAGCTGCCCCTTTCCAGTGACCTTCCTCTTAGGTCATTTTCTTGGAAGAGGACAAATAAATTATGGGTTGTTTTGGAAGAGTTTACTTTAATAATTTTTTTTTTTTTTTTTTTTTTTTTGTAACCTACTGAATGGCCTGTGCTCCTCTGCAATTCTTCCATGATTCTTTCCAAATTTTGCTAAGCCTGTTTTCTGTGCTCTAGCTGTATAAAACATTTTAATGTCCGATTACTTAATCACTGCTGCATGCACTGATTTTTTTCTTTATTCTTTTTTTTTTCCTTGATGCCTATTTCACTTATTCAAGAATTGCAAATAAAAGTCCTGATATAAAATAAAAGTTTTTTTATTGTCCTGGTTTCAGCTGGGATAGAGTTAATTGTCTTCCTAGTAGCTGGTACAGTGCTATGTTTTGAGTTCAGTATGTGAAGAACGTTGATAACACTGATGTTTTCAGTTGTTGCTCGGTAGTGTTTAGTCTAAAGTCAAGGATTTTTCAGCTTCTCAAGCCCAGCCAGTGAGAAAGCTGGAGGGGCACAAGAAGTTGGCACAGGACAGAGCCTGGGCAGCTGACCCAAAGTGGCCAACAGGGTATTCCATACCATGGGACGTCACATCTAGTATAGGAACTGGGGGGAGTGGGGGCAGGGGGGTTGCCGTTGGGGGACTAACTGGGCATTGAGTGGTGAGCAATTGCACTGCGCATCATTTGTACATTCCAATCCTTTTATCATTACTGTTGTCATTTTATTAGTGTTATCGTTATCATTAATAGTTTCTTCTTTTCTGTTCTATTAAACCGTTCTTATCTCAACCCACGAGTTTTACTTCTCTTCCCGATTTTCTCCCCCATCCCACTGGCTGGGGGCGGGGGGAGTGAGTGAGCGGCTGCATGGTGCTTAGTTGCTGGCTGGGGTTAAACCATGACATATATCTCAGGCCAAGATGCTTTCAGATCTGCAGAAAGGAGAGAAACCTCTGCATCAGAGATGACTTCAAGAGCACATTGCCTAAGGAAGTGAGGAACTATGATCTGCATCTGAATATGCTTTAGAATGCGCTGTAGAAGCAGCAAATACTTATAAATTAAAATAGTGGTGTTTTGGAGGCAGTCCATCGAGCCAATAACACATGCATCCCCTCTATCAGACTAAAGCTTATTTTAACGTTGCATGTTACTCTTCAGACTTGCTATACCAACTGCTCTTGTGTTCAGAGTTCTGTATTGAAACTGCAAGTTATTTTGGCATAGGCTAGGATCAACATCTTTTCTTCAGCTTGTACTCTTTTGGAGATGGCAGGGAAAGAAGGGCAAAAGTAACAAAAAAGCATCTTGTTGCCTAAGTAGGCTGGAAAGCATGTGTTCGATCATCTCTTACTGTATCTTGTGTTGGCAGAAGGAACTTTCTTGTTGCCATTTTTTCTCATAAATATGCAGTAGTAACTGCAAATAGGAAATATTTCTCTGTAGTACTTGGTGTTTGGTCTGCATTTGCTATTTGCTGGAAGCTGCATCTATATACCCACTGTAATTTCTCATTTGATACTGTGTGGACTTGTATTGCATTCACAGGCTAACAGGAGTTGCTCTTTCCTGAACTGTCACAGGAAACAAATCAAAAGTAGTAATAGATGAATCCGTTCTTCAGTGGATGGAATATATCCCTGGCCAAAGATAATCTTGAGAGAGAAGTAGCACGCCAAAAGCTCTACATTTTGGAAGCTACCAACACATGAGGCTTCAGTCCCCTGCCACAGGGAACAATTCTTTGTTGCTTTGGTGATTGAATTAGAGAGCTATATTAGCCCTTTCTGCTCTAAGTCATGAAAATGCAAGCATCCAGGTTTAATTTCTGCGAAAAACAGCTTATACCTCTGACTTGTATTTATTTTGCAGCCTGTTGGGTTTTGATTGTAGAATAGCCTGTAAGGCTGCAGCATTCTACTGGAAATTCTCAGTATTTTGAAACCTTTAGTTGGGTGGAGATACAAGTAACAGTATTTTAATCTCTGGGTTTTGAAACTATTGAGGCAAAGCAGATACTAAGATGATCATGAAAGCTGCTGAAAGGAGGGATTGCCTGTACCTGTTTGACTGAAATCATCCAGTGTTTGTTATGGGGAAGCGAAACTTCCCCCTAAAATGTTCTTTACCTTGTTAGCTAGATGTCCAGTTGATGCTAATAATTGTCCCCTATGTATTCAGAAATGAAGGCTTCAGAAATGTGTTTGGTAACCAGTTTATGAACCAGCCTTTCTTCAGTTCATGAACCAGCGTTTCTTCTTACTAATTACTCCTTTTTTTGTTGTTGGTGGTTTTTGTTTTTGTTTTTGTTTTTTTTTTAAATCTTGCAGAGTAAGTGTGTCAAGTACTGGCCTGATGAATATTCCCTAAAGGAGTATGGTGTTATGCGTGTTAGGAATGTCAAGGAGAGTGCAGCACACGATTACACACTAAGAGAACTTAAGCTTTCTAAAGTTGGGCAAGTAAGTATGTTAGTAACTCTGTCCTTTTAATTTGGGTTGCACATCACAAAAAAAAGTTTGCAGAAATAGGCTGTTTCTTTGGAATCAATAAAAGCACTAAGAGATTAATAAATTGAGACCTGTCTCTTTCTTTGAAGCTCCAGGTTTAGTTCTATACATCTTTCTCTTTGTCCTTGGGATAATTGAAGATTCTTACACCTAAGCAATTTTTGGCAGAAGATGCGCAGCTGCAAAGCTTTGGGGAAATCTGGAAAGAGAGATGGCGCTTTTAAGTAATCACACTTAGATCTAGCTAGGCATTTGCTCTCTTTCATGGAGATGGTTGCACTAGAAGAAAACGGTCGTGTATGGGTCCAGTACGTAGAAAGAACACTTAAGGGAAGGAATACAAAAGATGAGGAAGGAAACAGTTAACTAGTGTGGAAGTAGCACTTCCTTGTTAAGGAACAATTTGGATCAGGATGCAAAATGAATTGTGTAAGAAGCAAATAAGCAGGATGTGTCACATTGGTATGTCCGTGAGATGGAGCTGAGTGGGAATAAGTGCATAAGGTAAGTGCCACTAAGTATGAATGATGAGTATGACAGGCGAAGGTCCCTCGCTGTTGGTCACCCTCAGACAGAACTTTGCCGTGCCTTCTAAAGGTGAGGATGGAAATGTTGTTGGAAACAACTGCATGAGAAAGAGGGAGCTGAGGAAGCAGATGGTGTGATTGACTTGTCAGGCCAGGAAGAACTCTGGCTAGTTCCCTCCTTTAAGAGAGTTGTGGTGCTGTGGATACTGAGCAGCAGGTTGGATATGCCACCTTCTGATCTGACTCAACTTTGCCACATAAATGCTTTTAGCTGGATTTTGATCTGAAGGATTTTGTTTTCACGTGTTGGCATCTTCCTTCCAGGGGAACACAGAGAGAACAGTCTGGCAATATCACTTCAGAACTTGGCCTGATCATGGAGTCCCAAGTGACCCTGGTGGTGTACTAGACTTTCTAGAGGAGGTGCACCATAAGCAGGAGAGCATTTCTGATGCGGGACCAGTTGTGGTCCACTGCAGGTATGGTGATACGCTATGCCTCTCCTGCTATGCCTTTGGAGTTCTGTTGGATGTTTGATACTTTTTTTTTTTTTTTTTTTTGGCGGCGGGAGATGAAAACTTTAAAAGAAGACAGATTTCCCTGAGAGCTACTCATACTTTGATCTGTCAAGGTGTTTGTGCTTTCTGTTTTGCAAAATGATATATTCTAGATAGGTGTCAAATGGTTAGCTTTGAAGCAGGCTGTCTTTCAGAGTGTACATGTCTATGAATAAGAATTTCTGATGTTGTATGAGAAGGTGGTACCAGTTTTGGCTAGATACATTTCAGGTGCAGGATGATGGAAATTCTAGTATCCCATCCCACCTCCTGTGAGTGCTCTCTCCTCAGTCTTGGTTTATAAATGAGATACTACTTATAAGGCAAGGAAATGTTAGATCTGAGCTTGTAGTTTTTTTCTGATTCAAGGACGTTAATAAATGCTGAGGCACAAAAGTGCTGTTTTGACTTCTGTCTCTTCCATGCTAAGTTGATTAGGTGTCTAGTTATTTTTGACTTTTTGGTTTGGTTTGACTCTGGCTATAATTTGGAAGTCTAATGTCTCTTAATGTTAGACTCTTACTTGGACTGGTGTTTTGGTGTCTGTTCAGAAAGAGTGAAACAACTAACTTTTTTTCCCCCCTTCTCTTTTTACAGTGCTGGGATTGGGCGAACAGGAACTTTCATTGTGATTGATATTCTTATTGACATAATCAGAGAAAAAGGTAGGTTTCCCTCTCACTTTTAGTTTCCTGTGGGACATTGATAGCTACATCACACTAAAACAACAGGAGTGTTGATAGAATAGAGGATTCTAGTAATGCTACAAACTAGGCATGTGTGTTTGGCATAGAAGGGACTTGCTCATTCCTCTTGATTTAGCTGGAATTCAAAGTGCTGAAGCCCTGCTCCAGTTCAGCATAATGAAAACTTTCAGCTGAGGATTAGTCAGGAGTCTGATTATGTTTTTCTTATTATTATTTGTATTATTTATTTTTCTGTTTTTCTTTTAAAATCATTCATGAGTGTGTGGTGGTCAGTATACTCAGGCATGCTGAATTTGAGCAACTTGTTTTTTGAGAATGGTGTAGTATCTATGTATAAACTGCTGTAAACAGTAACTCGGCATGTATGTTGAGCTAGGTTGCATTTAAAGTTGTCTCGGACCAGTGTGAAGTGATGCAGTTTTGTCCCTCAGGACAGCTTTCCATGTTATGTTACAGTTCTACAGATCTGTATATTAGAAGTCAAGGGCAAATGCTCTGTGTTAAATGTTAGCAATCTTGCTTATTGTGAGATCATTCAACTACACTGTGTTCTGCTGGAAGATGAGACCCATCTCTCCTCCAAAGATAAAGTTTGTTTTACTGTTCTTAACATTATGATGATTCTTCCTAGGTGTGGACTGTGATATTGATGTTCCAAAGACCATTCAGATGGTGAGGTCACAACGGTCAGGAATGGTTCAGACAGAAGCACAGTACAGATTTATTTACATGGCAGTACAGCACTACATTGAAACGCTACAGCGCAGAATTGAAGAGGAGCAGGTATATTTGTCCTAAGTATAAAATGTTACATAGGAACGTGTTATCATTTGAGCAGGGAGCAGAGTTGCCGCCTGTGACTTTCGGAGGCATGACTGCTGGCTGTATAACCAATGCATTGTGAGAAGCCTGGGACAGTAACCTGTTAACCCTGTTCAGAGAAATTAGCCTATATTTCAATTCGTTATGCTTAAGAATTACTTAAAGTATTAGGTGGAATTAGAAAATTGTAAAATAAAACCAGTGTGTTTGGCCACTGACAGAGAAAGAAAATCAGCAATATGAGAGGCTTCTCCATATGACTGCAACTAGTGCTGGTTTACCTTCCATGAAAATGCTTGCATGTAGGGGATCCTGTCCTCCCAGTCCCCCAGTCCCTGCACCCCAGATCTCAAATTCTCTTAATATTATCTAGTTTTCTGTGCAAGAAGAATAAGAGGTAAGGCTGTTAATTAATACAGAACCTTGTGTTCTGTTGAGTTTTAAAGAGATTTCAAACCTGTTAACTGTATTTCTAAAGTAGGATAATCAAATTCAAATGCTAGTCACTCTAATACCGATTTTGGAGTCTTAAAGTTTATTAGTAAGAGGTAAGTATATTGGACTGAAAGAAGAAAGAATGAGTGTGGTGATCTTGCAGTACAGTGTCCAACAAAAAGCAGTTAGAGGAGTGATTTGGTGTAGTAAGATGAGAAAAGGTTTGGAATATGTGGTGACAACCACAAGACCTTCACCTCACTCTTCCTGTTTAAGTACTTCATTGCATTCAAACTCTACAGTCTTTTACAGAAGTTACCTCATTTTGTAATAAAGAACTGACAATCTACACACTGTTGCTTTCATTCTCTGCCCTAACCTTTGGTCATCTGGGATTTTTATCTTTTTGTTTCAGAATTTCAATATATTTCCTTGTGCAGCTGGTTTGCTGCTGAGAAGGAGATAAACCCACACAACTGATCAGGCAGATGTGGGGAGCGGCAGGGTTAGCGCAGTGCCAGGTGTAAGATGTAATCCCTGTTTAGAGATGGAGTGTGCCAGCTTGGGCTTGGCACTCTTGTGTGGCTTTTGGCTGCTTTGGAGTGTGGCAGAGCTTATTTTATATTTGCCTACATGATGTAGATGCACCGTTCAGCAGAGAGGATAGAGACTTTATTCCTCTCCCCAGGACAGCTGTTGTGTGATCTGATGGTGATTAGACACAAAGTGAAGAACAAGAAATCCCGCAGGTGTACTTTTTTCCCTGGCTTTGTTGTCTCACTTCGCCTTAGAGCTGCTTCATATCTCGAATGTGTGTGTAATTATACAAGCCTTGTATCCTTAGCTTTTTGAATACAGTCTCTTTCTGCTGCTGCCATTTACAAAGTAGATCTGTAACTCTCTCTTGATTGTTTTGATGGGTTTTGAATAGTATTTTGATATTGAGTGGAGCAGTGTATTTCTCCTATAGTGATGAGGCTCAGTTAGTTGTGTCTCATCCTCTATTCCATTACTAGCTCAGAAGGCACAGGTATAAAAGTTTAAGAAACTGGAAATAGAACATTGCTTTACTTCAGGAGGTCTTGACCTGTAACTAAGGCTAATGGCAGCTATAGGAATAAAACTATATAGAACTTGTCAGACAAAAGCAAAGCTTTGTGGTGACTATAGGAACTAATGTCCTGAAAAAAACATGGTGAATTGGGAATGCTCCAAAGCATGTTTTGATAGAGCAGAAAAAAAAAAAAGGCTAAGTAGTAGAATACTATGCAGAATGCTTGAATATCACCCCAGTAAGATAGTCTGGGAATGAAATGCTGTGTTTTGAGGAACTTTAACTTCTGGAACCTTCTTTTCTATGCTTGCTTTAATTACAGTTGCAAACAGTGAAAGCTGGAAAAAAACCTGGTGCAGTCAATTAGGGCACCTTTATAGGAAACAATATGAGGTTGTGCTCCCTGTCTGCTTTTCAATCTGGATGAACCCAAGCCAGCTCTGATAAGAAATTAGGTAGTCACACTAGCTAACCTGTTGTCGTGCAGGACTTAAAACCAGCTGGACTGAAGAAGTGGATATGTGAATAGCTGCATCCATTCACATAGATAAGCCTGCTTTTTGTTTGTATTCAGGAAGAAATTGCCCTGCTCTGCTAGCATTCGCTTTTGCATTGCAATGCTGAGAGCCTCAAGATTTCATAGAGTTAGGTGTTGTGTTAAATATTGCCTCTCTTCTTACAAGTGTAAAACAAAAGCAAAGTGAATTTGGGTGGGTTTTTTTTTTTTTTTTTTTTTTTTTTCTTTTCTGTGGAAATGTGTATGTTCTCCTACATCTAGGAAACAAGTCATTCTTACCACATTTCTTTTATTCTGAATTAGAAAGGATAATTACAGTGAATTAAGCGGAAGGAAGAGAAGCCAGAGATTTACTTTTTATTGGCTTGTTTTATCTGTTTGTCAGCTTAAGTAATAGAACTGACTGATTCTTTTTAAATTGCTTTTAAAGTACAGTACATCTGTAACATGAACTGCCATTCATCGTGCAGTTGGGGGCAGTGGGAAGGTGGAAATCAAGCCCTGGATTTTGGGCTTCAGAATATTATTGGCAGGTGAGGGGTTTGTAGCCATAACACTAGAATGCAGCAGAGTTTGAACTTTTGCGTTGTGTTTAAATCTTATTTTTTAGCATTAACCTTCCAGGTAATTGATCTGGACTGGTAGTCTATTTGAAAGTGATTTGTCAGGAGTAAGTAGGAGGCCGAGAGGGGAGAAGTTCAGTAAAATAACAGAACAAGTTGAGCAAGTTTTGAGTAAGTCTCAGAAGGCCATCTTGGAAAAACTTCAACCTATATTGCTATACAGAGTGTTCTTAATGGAAACTCAGCAGCCAGAACTCCCCAGAAGCTCTGACAACCTCTGCTGTGAGATTGATTCAGGTCAGTTATTTAGTACTTGTTCAAGCATTTAAAAAAACCAAAACAAACCAAAGAACACAAAAAAACAAACGGCAACACAAAACCAACAAACACCCCCCCACCCCCGCAATCCAGTACCCTGTAAAACTTTAAAGTGAGTCTTTAATTTCTGTGTAGTTTTCGGTGTATGCATGCGTTGTGAATGTTTGCCTTGAAAGGAAGAAAGCCATATCCCCTTACTTTTCCTAGTGTAGCTTTGCTTGCTGGAGCCTTCAGTATCTTTAGATGAATGCCAGCACAATTGGCTGCAGCTTGTAACATATGCTGCAGAATACAAATAACAGCTTGGGTTCTTTTTATATCAAACCTAATGGGCTAAGATGTTATTTTATTAGAGATCTTGCAAACAACGTTGTTACTCATTTGGCCACATCTCCAAGCTGGAAATAAGGTCAGTGGGAAGCCCACTGGCTGGTACTGTCTATTAAAGAATGAAGCATGGTTTCTTCTGCCAAGTAAGATGAAGATTGCGTATGAATGCTGGTTCCTGAGGTTGGTATATTCTGCTGGAGATGGTGGTGGAGAGAGGAATATTGAAAAGTGAGCCTTTTCAGGTCTTGTAACCAATGGCTAAAGCCAGCCTTTAGGTCTTATCCATGTTGTGTGTGTTATCTACAGAACTGAGCTTTCTTCTCCTTGTAGACACACCTTTCTTCTAAAAACAGACATGGTTAGTTACACATGTAATTTCTGCACTACTTCAATGATTGTTTTCTATTAGTAATCAAAAACCCGGCTTTTTGTTGTGTTTTGCTTCACAGAAGAGTAAGAGAAAAGGTCACGAATACACAAACATTAAATATTCTTTATCGGACCAGACAAGTGGGGATCAGAGCCCTCTTCCACCCTGTACCCCAACCCCAACATGTCCAGAGTAAGTTCACTTCTATTGTTAAGGTGTAAGTTTTCTGAACTGTACTGACTAATTTTCAGGGACCTCGAATGAGAATGAGTTACCACAGAATCTGCCCTAGACTGTTGCCCTGTGCTTTGCTCTTAAAATAAATTAAGCAAAATAAATTGTCTCTGAATTGCATTGCATGTACAAATATGTTTTTCTCCAACTAGATGCTTTGGACTGTAAATCCTTGTTTCATTTCAGAATGAGAGAAGATAGTGCTAGAGTATATGAAAATGTGGGGCTGATGCAACAGCAGAAAAGTTTCAGATGAGAAGATGTACAGAGACTTCCACGCAGAGGCAGGTGTGTATGTTCAGGAGCGAGTGTGTGTATCCAGCCTGGAGTTGTGGTGTTTGGAGAAAATGCACACAAAACCAAACTATGAGAAGAACTATAGGAAGGACTTTGTAATGCCCAAAATGTGTGTAATCTATCCACCTTAGGGTGTTTAAATTCCAGAAGCTAATTTTGATTGAATTGCATGTACGTCTACCCTTTCAAAACAATGTGGAATATTAGCTTGGTAGTTAGGGCTTTGTTCTTGTGTCCTGACTCACCAGTGACCGAAGTTGGAAGTCTTATTATTCAGGAGACTGAAATCCTGCATGCTAGCAAAAGATGAGTAGCAATTACAGCCTGAACTTTCCACATCTTTTAAAAGTTGCTCCTGGTTGATGATAAGGCTTTCTGTGCATCTAAAGAGATTCAAAGAACACTTAATCTCATGCTCAGCCTCATAAAAGATGTGATGAGCAAAGCTACCGCTGTGCCTGCGTGGTGTGAGCAGTTCATGTAGTATTGTTGTCTTACTAGTAAAAATTAAATCCTTGCTTTTGCTGGGAGAGAAATCTGTAGTTTCTCTTTGTTATATTTTAAATACCTGTTATAATTTTGTTCTTGCAGTCAGGCAACTGAATATATATATATAGGTTATTAGCTGATAAGTTTATCTGATACTTCAGTTAATGGGCTGTGAATACAGCAAAGGAATACCTTTGAATTTAATGTGTCTTTAGTCATTAACTTCTTTTGGATTCTAATTTAAAGCCTTTTGTCATCTTTCCCCCTGTGTTTTTAAAGACTTCAGAAATCCTCTTTTCCCTTTCTGTTTGGTAACTGTAAGTATGTGTCATCCATTTAGTCTAGGGACCTCTCCAAGTTTATACACAATCTCATCTTCTACTTCCAAAGTACCATGCTTTATAAGTTTATAAACCAAAGTTTCTAAGCAAGGTTTGAGACTTTTGGTTGACTTTAAGGCTTTCTTGAATCAAAACTGAGCACTTCTGTATAATGTCAGAGTAAGAAATAACTGCTTTTTTTTTTTTCCTAAATAACTTTTTATTTTCTTCTCCCTTCCTTTCCCAGAACTGAATATGGTTTTTAAGAAGGTCAAGAAAGAGATGGAAGAAGCTTCACATGAATGGTGAACCCTGAGGGCTTGGTACCTTTTTATTTACGGTTTTAATCCTTCAACAGTAGGCAAAACTTAAGACCATCTAAAGATTGTTTATCTCTCTTCTCTCCAATACCTGATTTACAATTGCTCATTTTCCAAATAAAAGGAAATCCTTTCTACAGTGTAGACAACTACTTTGTAGAGTCAGTTTTGAATCTCGCAAACTGTTGGACTGTCATCCATTTGTTTTTTAAATAGTATTTTTGTTTCACAGTATGCCTATTAGTTGGGGTTTTTTCCTTATTTGAGCAGTTGTGGGATTTTGGGGGGGTGGGGGGCGGGGGGTGGTGGGAGAGCAATGATGTGGATAAATCCGTTACACTAATGTAAAATACTGATGGGAACAATACTTGATTGTTTGAAAACAGTGGATCACCAGCATGAATAGAATCAGCTACATGATAAAATTAGTCCTGATACATTTCAAACTCAGACTGAGTTTCATAGGAGTGAGCAGTTATTGATATGAAGGTGCTTTTTGTGATAACTGATGGCTTTGATTACGACTTAGCTGAGTGGCTGGATAGGCTATTTTTGAGTGATTATGCAAGGTAGCCTTTACTTCAGACAAGATTTCTTTTACATGATCTCTACCCAAATTAGAAATTTACTGTATCTCTCATGGGCACAGTGGCCTAGCTGTTTGTGAGGACACTGCCTAGCTGTTTGTGAGGACACTTGTCTGTGTTAATTTGTCTGTGTTTGTCTATTAAGCAAGAGATTGAACTTGTAGAGTTAAGGTATTTTAAAAAGTTGCATGATGACACCTTGACAGCATATTAAAAGCAGTGAAACAAGTAACCCACTGTGCAGGCTGTTACCTTAGTATAAGGTAACCCTCTTCCCCTTCTGTTGGGGAGGTGTAAGTTGTTGAGCCTTCTCGTTTTTTAGTAAGGCCTTATGCTAGTGTAAGTAGCTAAATTAAAGTTGTGTGGGGAAAGCAGTGCATGGAAGCTAGCTATCCACTAAAATTGCCTTAGTTGAAAAAGGGCGGCATGGGCAGCAAGGCCAGCAGGCTTGTTCTGGTTCGTTTCATCAGGCAGGAGTTTATTACCATTCTACCTGAAGTGCCTTTCAGAGCTGCATTGAATTTGCTGTCCCTATTTGATTAAAAAATTTACATCCACCTGAAACCACTTCTGATTGTTGTGAATAAGACAAAGTCCTCTTCTAGAGACTCTAGAACGAAGAACTGCTGTTCAGCTGCCAGTTAATTGGGGTTTTTCACTTTGTTTACTCTGTCCAATTATCTGGACCAGATGCTCCTCTTGAAGCCGTTAGCAGCTGCTTGTGTGCATTAATGGCAGAATTGGTCCCTAGGAGTGGGTACCGGTGGTGTCTTAGCAATGTTTTTCCCCGTGTTTCTGGGGAAGTTCTGTGACTTAAGTGGTGTTAAGGAATTATTGCCATTTTCATACAGCAGGTGCAGATGGTGAACGCTGCATTAAATTGCTGTATGCAAGGGTGCAGGGCCAATGGAATTGTGTTATTGGCCTTACTAGTGAAATTATGCTAAAGCCTGGAATGTAATTAATGCAGCTTTGTGAAAGGTTAAGTGGGAGATTACATTACCTTTTCCTGAGAGTGCTTTGCAAAATCAAATATTTGAACACTTTGTACTGAATGAAGGTGCTTCTTTAATGTTAAGCAGACTTTTGTTACTTTGCCTATTGTCCTTTTTGTCTTTTGAGGCTTTGGGTTTTTTTGGGAACTCCTGTCACCAGCATACCATAATACATGTTTTAATGTCATAGCCTTACACTCTAGTCATAAATACTAGTGCCCTTTCTAGACCTAAAATTTCTAGTCATGATGAGAGAGAGATCTATTTGTTTGGTAGCAAGATACCTATTCTGCATCGCCTGCTTCCTCTCCTGTCCCTATTTACAGCTTCATCCTGCTGAACAGGGATCAGTTATAAGTGTTGGTATTTGTATAGAGCAATTGATGGCAATTAAATATTTGTCTAAAACTTTGTGCAAAGTTAGACAAATTCTACACTTCATATGTTATAGCAAGGTGGAATACGTGTTCAGGTTTGGAGCTATTCTGCACCAAACTGAAAAGTCAGGGGAAAAGTCAAGAGAAAGGAGAGAAGGATCCTGAATGAATCTGAACTCTGTTATGAACTCAGTTAACGTGATGTGTCTTAAAAGATTGACCTGTATAAGCAGCAATCAGTTACGTGGCCAACATGAAGTTGCCTCTTACGACCTCATTTTAGCTGTTTAGAACATGCCGCTGTAGGATTTCTCCCCCCCCCCCCGGAAACAGGGAATTCTTACTGCAGAATGTGTATTAATCCTGGGGAGCATATGGTGGTGGAATGTCAATGAGGGGGGAACAGAATCTGAAAGATTGTGAATAAATACTCCTCTCTTAACAGAAGTGCTAGGCCCTGCTGAATACCAAAGGCGAGACCTTGCAAAATAAAATCTGTCTGCCTTTCATGCACCGGCAAGAGAGGGATGATTCTTAAAGCATTTTTTAAATTATTTTAAACAATGGCTGGGGTTTATGACAGATGAAGCAAGAAGGAGAAATGTCCTTTGGTTCAGGGGAGATAAGTGAATGTGGGTTTCATGTATTTCTAGTAAGTTTTTAGAGAATAAATTTAAAGCATTGGTTTACAAGCTTTTGCTGTATCAATGGAATGGAAAAGGGATGTAGTTCTGAAGTGTTCTGTTGTAGAAGACTTTATACCACAAGGGAAACTTTAACCCAACTCCTAAGGCACAATAATTTATGCCAGCATGAATTTGCTGCAGACTTCATTTACTGAATGTTTTATAGCATACACTTTAATTTCAGCTAACTGTTGTTAGGACTGATTGGTTCTATTAATCCTGACCAAACTTTACTTTTTCCTCTTAAGGTATGTGTTTGAAACATGATTAACTAGGATACGGCTAACGAAATTATAAAACCTGTTTCCTTTTTTTGTTGTAGGGATGAGAAAAATCACAGCTGGTACTAGGATGTGTTGTCAGGTTTTGATTTTCTACCCATAACTTCATTATTTCAAATTAATTTTTAATTTCTCCCTTTTAAATAGTGAAACGTAATTAATAATTTCAAGCCTGTTTATTTATGACATTATTGTGATTTTTTTTTTTTTTATTACAGTACTAAAGACTAATGAAAAAGGATCCTCTTATTAGGTGGAGTAGACCTTGCATTTATTTTTTTCCTGCAATGTATGAAGTATTGTACCAGAGTATTAAATGAAATGTAATATTTTATTGAAAAATTTCTATCCTTTAAAAGGAATACATTTAGGATGTCATCAATTTGATGTGAATCATGTAAATGTTGATAATGCGCTGTTTATTATACATCTAGTGTTTCAAAAGACTCACTTATTGCCTTTTGCCCACATACATTCTGTAGACCATTTACAATTGTCAAAATGTGACATTAAAAGAATAGTTCATGTATAGAAATATTGGTGGTTGTCCATTGTTTTCTGTGCTGGTATTTATGGGTCTTAGTTCAGCTGCTCTGCTAGCTGCATTGTGATTTTTATTGCTGCGAAGCTATATTATTGGAAATAAAAGCATATCTGTAAACCTCAGAACTTCAAAAAAAGGGAAAAAAAGAAATTAAAAAAAAAAAGAAATAAAAATAATTTTCTTAAGATGGTTTGTCAGTTACTCTTTTCCAGCTTGCAGTCAGAAAAGATGGTGTTGTATGGGCACTAATCTTCAAGTCTAGTTCATAGTGTTTCTGAATTGTACTGCTGAGCCCCCTGCGGGATGAGATGCTGTTGAAGAGAGCAGCTGTCCTTCCTGAGAGCCAGTGGAGCAAAACTCTTAAGTATGATGTATATGAGCTTTTATCTTTGCATTCCTACCATCTGCTGCCAGCTGGCTGCCCCGTGGGAGGTTCTCTGTGCTGTCCAGGTACTGTCTCTCCGGTTAGCCCTCCATGGCTTTTGTCCTGGGAGTCTTGCCCTTGCGCTCCTGCAATGGTCAGGTGTCCCTGCTGCCTCCTGCTTTCCCTTTCCTGTTCTACCTCCAGATAATTGACCTTCATCACTTTTTTTCCTGAATTTTGGACATGGTGTGGAACATGCTCAAAATTGGGATGGAGTGGGGATTGGCCTGCATCTTTCTGCTATTAGTGTATTATCAATCAGTTTTAACTAGGGGAAAGGAAGGGCAATCCTGTTCTTTCTCTGTGCACATCACACTCAGCTGCAACCAGTTCTTCTGGGGTGAGAGAGAAAGAAGCTGTTGCTCTCGCTCCTGCTGCTCCTTCCTTCCAGATCTTTCATCTCTTGCACCATTTGTCTTTGGAGCTGTGCTGTTTCCTGAGATCCTTTTATGCCAGCACCATGCAGTGACTCAAAAGAGGGACTGGTGTTTTGAAAAGGAGCTGTATTGTACCCCAGGCTCCTTTCTGCCAGCTGCTGCTACCATACTTCAAAAGCTGTCACAATTTCTGACTCTCTGTAGCACTTGGAGCTAGACACTTCCAAAAATGTATGTCCTACCTGTTCTCTAGGCAGGAGCAGAAGAGCGTACATGTGCCCCTAAGTATTACGTATCAGTCTAATTGTAGGTCCACTAATACTGCTTTTTCTTTCTTAAAGCTGTTGGGAGTGTTCCATTAGGCATGTCATTGCTGTTATTGATTCCCAGGAACTAGGCAGCCTTAGTGGCTTCACTAACATATGAAGGGTTTTTAATTCAAGGAAAGGTTCCGCTAAGCATTAGGTCTCCCCTTGATCCTGGTTTTGGGGCTGAGTGGTAAAAACGCAACTGAGACATCCTGCAGGTTTTTAGGAAATAAATGCTGTATGTTGTAACACAGATGACATGAGCAGTGCTGGTTGCACACAGAGCAAAGATCAGCTGAATTTGTAGTAAACCAAGCTTAATCTCAAGGTGATGGCAAAGCATAGAGATAATCTACTGAAATGCTGGGAAGGAGGCAAAGCCCTGTGGTTGAGGCCTCTGCAGATTCACATACAAGCCGAATTCAAATGAGGACAGAGGCTATGTAGAGCAGCTTGGTTTTAAGGTGATTATCCTGCAGAGTAAGATTTTTTTGTTGTTGTTTATGAACGTGTCTAGCAGTTTGCATCCATCTCTGTGTATAGCAATGGCTTTGTAAGCTGTTTCAGGGTTGGGGAAGGAGGGGGACCAGTCCAATCTGAGAACTTTGACAAAGATTGAAAGCGGTAGGGATGTGGGGACACTTACAGCACCTCCTGCTTTCTCCCAGGCTGCTGTGTTGCGTTTTTGCTTGCCCTGTGTAGGTAAGTATGAATAGAATTTATTCTCGCAGCACTCTCAGTGTGTATACAAGCCTAGATGATCGGATATTACTCAAGGACAAGTTTGTTATTTCCATAAAACCTTGAAACTTTGGCTGACTTTTCTTTAGTACAAACTCCAATGCAGTTAGTGTTTAGGTTAGGTGAATTCTGAAACATGCCTCCTGTTACACAGCAAAATGTATACATTGTACTGCTCTTCTGATCCTGTAAGGAGACGAGCTGAATGGGTCAGGTAAAATGAAGGTGTCCTTCAATCAACCTATTTGCTGTTTCCAAAGAAAACATTTTTCCAGCGCGTCTCTCTTGGCAGAGCTGGTGCAAATCAGGTTCCATTTTCAGGGTAGCAGTTCTTGTTTCATGTCCCTGTGTATTGCACCTGGTTGTGTTTTTTAAGACTTCACATGCTAGTCCCATTGCTTGGGATCACCCTTGAGCCCGTTGCATGGCGCTTGTGCTTTGAGTCTCTGAAGTCTTCCTTTGCCTTGAGCTGGAGCCTGAGGCTCAAATGTGTGTGTATTTTCTTCCCTTTTTTCTTTTGTAATAGTTGGGAAAGATACCTTCAAAGGCTTCTTAATATGCTGATTGCTTCCCGTTTCCCCCATGGAGTAAGATTCAGCATAACAATTCATAGATCAAAACGTTTGATTTGAAAAAAAACCCAGCTCTCCCAACAAATGCCTCCAGGTATTGGAGGGGCTGTTACATTTTTAGTGTGCATCATCTGGACGACTCACTTTTTTCTTGACTACATGCATGTTTGCTCCTAACAGAGGACAGCTCTTTGGATTCTTATGCTGGTGCTTTTCTCAGTTTCCTTATTTGTGTCATTGGATGTGAAACAGGAGGGGGAGGAACTCCCTAGTCTCTCTTGTGCTGGAAATCAGGCTGGAAGATGCTGTGATTCCTTCTAGTCTTTTTATTTAATAGTCCTATGCCTGAGCTTAGTTTATGGTTGTTTTTTCTGGCCGCAATCTTTAATTTTATAGATCCATGAAAGTTCCTTGTATATTTACAACTATGAATGATAGCTAAAGGGATATAAAGTGCTGTGTAAGAAACAGGAGAGAGAAATAATATGTAAGTGGAGGCTTTTTCAAACTGCTTGATCTCATTTTATTTTGTGCACTTAAGGTTTAGTATTTGTAGAGCGGTTGAGTGTCCTCTCGAAGGAAGGGAATGTCTTTGTCCTTCCTGGTGCCTGGGCTGCGGGTATGGAGAGCAGGTCGACGGCTGGCTAGTCAAGATTGATTACGCTCACTGTTTCAGATAAGTCTGACCTCAGGTCCTGCCTGACAGCAGCAATTCTGGCTTGGTCTGTACCTATTTGGCCACCCTGGCCTTCCTGGGGAATCAGTGTCTCCTTGGGAGGCTGTGCTTTGGATACAGACCTGCACATGGGCACGTCCTCCTGCTGCTTTCCCGATGCTTCTGGCATCCTTTGACAGCAGCTGATCATACTTGTAGCACTGTCCTAGTTTAGCATAGCAGAAAGCTGCTTTAATTGGGATATTCTTTGTGTAGGCTTTTGTGCAAACAGCAAACCTCCCCAGCAGTTCTCAGCTGCACAAGCTCTGTGCTTTGCAAACCTTTCCCCCAACAGTGTCAAGATCCGAGTTTTGATGTTCACCTGTCTCCGCTGCAGCAGTCTGTGTTGTGTCCGTGTGCAATCTGCTCCCCTTCCTTCAGTCTCCTGGAGTCCTCTTGTTAATCACAGATGTTTGCAGTGACTTGCATTATTGTAATGAACGGCCTTTGTCAATTCACATTCCTCATGGTTCACGAGCTCCGGGAAATGCAGTACTTCCAGAGCATCTACTCTGGATTGCTCTAGGTGTCCTGCACTAACCTCTGTGTAGACTTCACACTTTCTGTGATTTGGCGACTGCTGTTGTCCCCTAATAAAGAGATTTGACTAAATACTGTATGAAATTTGAAATCAATCTCTAAGGGTTCTCCCACAAGGATCTGTCTGAAAGTTAACCTTTTGATTCATAGCAGCTCATAATTGTACAAATCATCAGTGGCTACACTGAATTTCTATTAGCTTTGGTCCATTTCCCAGGCCTAGATCTGCATAGTAATATCAGTGTCTGGACAATCTGCTCCTAAAATTCAGTTGAATCAATCAAAAGGCTTTGAACGGTGACTTCCATTGCAGAGACGCATTTCTGCATAATGTGGAAAAGCAGTAGACTCTCTTACTCAAATTGCTCTTCCCAGGCACAGGTCACTGGCTGGACTCAGTCTAGATCATGATGCTTTTATCAGAGGCACAAGAAAAATAGGAAGCTGCTCTCCCCAAAATTCGGTGCCTGCCATTGATGAAAACCAGAGGATGGAACCAGCATGTTGCTGTCACCCTGCAGAACAAGTAAGTGTGTCCTCAGGGTGGTTAGCTGTGGCAGACTGTACCTCCATCCTTCCCAAAGGAATGATTGGGGTCCTGTTCCCCGTAGCTATGTCTTGCCCCTTCGAGCATGAAGCCCTTTAGGATGAATTACATGGTCTTAATGGTAACGTAGCCTGGGAAATGAAATTGGGGATGGAGCCCTTGTCTTGCCCACGACCTGGACTTGCGTCACTTTTGCTGTCCTTCCTCCCGGTCAGCATCACTGTCCCTTAAGCTGTAGGACAGGAGGGTCACAGGAAGACTGATGTTGGGAGGGATCTCCCTTCCAGGGGCTTGGAGCCTTTTTTTTTCCCCTCTGTTTCATGAAGGGTGTAGGAAGAAGGGCTGTGGTGGTGGTGGGATTCCTTCCGCAAGGCTTGTTCTCCTTTCTTCGGCCAGTCGCTGAGCGTTTCTGACACGCAGCATGCTCCGCATTCTGGCACGGGATCAGGAACGCAGGGGAGAGGCTTTGTTCCAGTCTCTGCTGCAAACGGGCTGATTGCTGGTGCGTAAGAGCCCGGAGGCTCTTGCATGTGAGTGCTTGTAGCTCGACTGCAGGAGTGTCTTTGTGCTTAACACGTTCGGCTCCTGTGTGCTTTGGGGCAATGGGTTGAGTTAAAACAATTCACCGGCAGGCTCTGGCTCTGCTGAGTTTGACCCTCAGAGATGCGGGGAAATAATAGACTGTGCTGACTTGTCAGGTATATTGTGAAAATAAACACCACGGAGATCTTGGGCCTCGCAAATATTACCCTGGTGGGTACCGTAAGTACCTAGCGTGAGACATTTATGTATGGTTCACCTGGCTGGATTGCTGACTCCGCTCCCCTGGAAGCCCCTTCGCTGGAGCGAGGAGGTAATTTCGTACTCTGGTGCTACCAGACCCAGCGAGGGCTTGCTGCAAGCCCCGAGCATCGCCCGCCAGCTTTCCAGGAGGCTGCGAGCAGCGTTTGCT